AACATCCTACAATGCACAGAACAGCCCCCACAACAGAATGTTCTGATCCCAAATGACAATAGTGTTGTGTTTGAGAAACTGATCTTTATTAATTCCTTGGTGATTAATCTAATTCCTGACTTTAAGTATAGTTTATATGCAGATGCCTTTCAGATTTATATTTCTGATCCAGACCCTTTGCTCCCAACTCAGACTTCTATATCCAGCCCACCTACTCAGTATCTCTCCTTGGGGATGTGTCTAATAGACATCAAACTGCTCAACCTGCAGCCTTTCCCATATCAAGGAATAGCAACTGTCTTTCCATTTGCTTAAGCCAAAAACCTTGGTGATTATTTCTGTCACACACTGCATCCAGTCCATATGGAAACTCCATTTCCTTTATCTTTAAAATATATTTGAAATCCAACTACTTCTTGCCATCTCAGTTGTTGTCAGATTGGTACAAGCTGCCTTTATCTCGCACTTGGATTACTGAGTCACCTCTTTATTGATCTCTTTACAGTCTGTTGTCAACATAGCAGCCAGAGTATTCCTTTAAAAACATAAGTGAGATTATATCACTCCTCTCCTCAAAGTCATCTAGGGGCTCCCTGATTTACTCAGGGTATAAGCCAGAGTTCTTACAGTGGCCTCCACAGTTCTACATGATGTGACCCCTCATTATCTCTCTGACCTTGTTTCCTACTGCCCTCCTACTTGCATACTACATTTTAGCCACACTCTTGTTCCTTATTCTTTGAACATTTCAGACACATCTTCTGTTTTAGGGCCTTGGTTCCTAGCTGTTTTCTCTGCCTAAAGCACTCTTCCTCTAGATAACTGGCTAATAATCTCCTTTGGGCGTCTGTTCACATGTCACCTTCCAGATGAGGCTCATCCTGATTCCCCTATTTATTTATCTTTTAAGAATTTAATTTATTTATTTATGGCTGTGCGTGCTGCGTGTTTGCTCCTGCACGGACTTTACTCTAGTTTTGGTGAGCAGGGGCTACTGTCTAGTTGCAGTGTTCAGGCTTCTCATTGTGGTGGTTTTTCTTGTTGCAGAGCACAGGCTCTGGGGCACACTGGCTCCTGTAGTTGTGGCACCTGGGCTATAGAGTGCAGGCTCAATAGTTGTGGTGCATGGGCTCAGGTGTTCCACAGCATGCGGGATTATTCTGGATTAGGGATCAAACCCGTGTCTCTTGCATTGGCAGGTGGATTCTTTGCCACTGAGCAACCAGGGAAGCCCTGATTGCCCTATTTATAATCGCACAACCCCTCCCCTACATTGCTCTCTGGATCTCCCTTGCTCTGCTCTGCTCTCTCTTTCTGCAAAGCATTTATCATTTATAACATAGAATATATTTTACTTATTATGTTCCTTATCTTTCTCTTTACTAGCATGTGAGCAGTGCACAGGTGGGGTTTTTTGTTTATTTTGTCAGCCAATATTGGGTTGGCCAAAAAGTTCGTTGGTGTGAGTGAACTTTTTGGCCAACCTAATATATATCAAGAACCTTCAGTAGTGTCTGGCACTTAGTAGGCACTCAGTAAATATTTGTAAATGAATAAATGAAGGTTAAAGGACTAGAATTCTTGATGAAATCAAAGAAGTAATTGATTAAAAGTAAGGAAGTAGAAATTTAAGGATATGAGTTTGTGATCAGAGGTAGACTCCAGGAATATAGCTGTAAACGTAGCTATAAAAGACTCCTTCCTTTATGGAGCTTACCTTCTAGCTGAGTAAATTTATAGTAAATCATAATAAATGCATTATATTATGCTTGATAGTTGTATATGCTAAGGACAACAAAGGGGTGATGTTTTAGATATTTTGGCAAGGAAGGTCTTGCTGAGAAGGTGCCATTTGAGCGAAGATGTGAAGAAAGGGAGAGAATGAACCTTGAGACTACAAGGGTAAAAATATTTCAGGCAGAAGGGTAATGTAGATAATGCTAAGACTGGCTTCAATCAGTGGGATATTGGGGAAAATAGCCTGTAAGAAGAACCATATTGTAGGTAGGCAAGAAGGGAGGTTAAAAGTCCATTCTTTGCTAGCCACCTTTTAGAACAGAATCATTTTCTTACAGTAAAGAGAAGAGAATGATCCCTTTTTATTTAAACTTTTGCTTTCGCAAATTGTATCTTTGTGTTTAGGAAGTCATTCAAGAATGGATAATGACAAACTATATTCTTTTAAAACATATCTTAAAACAACTTTTGTATCATTACCTTTTGTTGACAGCAGAGGGAACCATTTTGCAAATTATCTAAATCTGGAAGGAGGTTGGTTGTTTTGTGATAAAGCCCTTTCATTTACTATGTTATGAAAAAAGAGTTAATTTGTTATGAAACAAATTAAAATTTGTTTTCTTCTAGAGCTCTATTAATACTTACTTGTGTAAGAAAATTTATAGGGTATTCATGAAATTTAGAAGAAATAGGGGTTTCCCTGGTGGCTCAGATGGTAAAAAATCTGCCTGCAATGCATGAGACCTGGGTTTGATCCTTGGGTCGGGAAGATCCCCTGGAGAAGGGAATGGCTACCCACTCCAGTATTCTTGCCTGGAGAATTCCATGGATGGAAGAGCCTGGTGGGCTATAGTCCATAGCGTTGCAAAGAGTCAGACATGACTGAGGGAACAGAGAAAGCATGGGATGATGAGCTGGGTTTAAAGGGGACATTTTTAAAAGGAACCCATATACCAGATAGGTTTTAAAAATTATATCTTGTTGAAAGAGGTAGTTCAGAGCTTGTTTACTATTCTCCAGGTGATTCTTTGGTTCATTCATTTAAAAAAATGCTTGCCATTGGGTACTGTGCTGGAAATAACAATATGAAAAAGATCTCAGAGGAATGAACACATTTTAATAGTTTCACAGTTGAAGGCAAGAGTGCCTCTTTGGTGGGCCTCAGAATAGATAGCAGGCATTGTTCAGGGAAGCTTTAAAGAGACCAGGCGAACTGAGTTTTGAGGTGTGGAAGAGTTGGAATTGGTTTGGCAGATGTTGGGGTGTAGAGTGTTCCAGAAAGTTGGCTAGTTAGACTTAAAATCTAGCTCTGATACTTATGGTGTAGTCTTAGGCCATTGTACATCAGTTTTATCATCTGTAAGATGGGTATAATAACTGCACTGGCTTCATAGGACTGTTGTGAGAATTAAGTGAATATATAGAGAATATTTAAACTGTGCATATACTCAACAATTGAAGGTGGTTGTTTTTGTTCAGTTACTAAGTTGTGTCTGACTCTTTGCACCCCTACAGACTATAGCACACCAGGCTTCCCTGTCCTTCACTATCTCCCGGAGTTTGCTCAGACTCATGTCCATTGAGTTGGTGATGCCATCCAACCATCCCATCCTCTGTTGCTCCTGTCTCTTCCTGCCCTCCATCTTTCCCATCAAGAGGGTCTTTTCCAGTGAGTCGGCTCTTCGCATCAGGTGGCCAAAGTATTGGAGCTTCAGCATCAGTCCTTCCAGTGAATATTCAGGGTTGATTTCCTTTAGGATTGACTGATTTGATCTTCTTGCTGTCCAAGAGACTCCCAAGAGTCTTCTCCAACACCACAGTTCGAAAGCATCAATTCTTCGGCACTCAGCCTTCTTTATGGTCCAACTCTTACAACTGTACATGACTATTGAAAAAACTGTAGCTTTGACTATATGGATCTTTGTCAGCAAAGTGATGTCTCTGCTTTGCCATCCCAAAGGAAAAGAAATGCAAGAAGGCAAAGTGGTTGTCTGAGGAGGCCTTACAAATAGCTGAGAAAAAAAGAGAAGGGAAAGGCAAAGGAGAAAGGGGAAGATTCACCCAACTGAATGCAGAGTTCCAGAGAAGAGCAGGGAGAGATAAGAAAGCCTTCTTAAGTGAACAATTCAAAAAATAGAGGAAATTGAAGGTTAACCTTTTTATAATGTGTTCCCTAATACTATTTATTTTCTGATTTCTGGAAGTCTTAATGAAGAGAAAGTTAACTTTTATTTATTTATTAATTTTTTTTTGAAAGTTAACTTTTAATGTTGTTATTCTAGAGATCTAGGGGGTACAATTGGCAGGTTGTAGTCTCTGAATGCGAGTGTTAGGGGGAAAGGATGCGTCTAGGGTAGTAGTTCTCAGCCTTGGATACACAGTAGAATCATCTGGGCAGTTAAAATGTGCCCTAAGTCCTATATCAGACCAGTTTAATAAATAGCTCTGCCACTGTGGCCCCAGGAGATTCTAATGTTTAGTCATGCTGAGAACCGCAGGTCTAGGGCCATTTGCAGGTTTCTGACTTGGGTAACTGGGTTGCTGATGGTGCCATTTACTGGGATAGAAAGCAGAGTGGAAAAAAAGAAGATGTTGCTTTTAATGTAGCCCTTGGTCTAAGAATCCTGTTAGCATTTGTATGCTTTAGCTATTTGTAATTAAGGAATGCTTTTAAATATTTGTTTCTGGATTGCATATCATAAATGACCCCAGACTGTGACTTTCATGTTCTTGTATCTACATTTTATATTTTGAGTTTCTTTTTAGATATTATCTGCTGCTGTTCCTTCTTTTTGGACTTATCTTTCAAATTACTCTATAATTTACATATTTTTAGATTTGTTTGACTCCCTCTTTTAAAATTTCTTGTTATTGCTTCCTCCCCTTCATCCTGTCTGGCCTCCCAACCACTGTTACCACCACTATTAGAATGTAATGTCTACAAGAACAGGGATCTTGATATTTTTGTTTGCCTATGAATGGTAAATTCCTGGTACATAGTATGTAATACATATTTCTTGAATGAATGAATGACCATCAGGCTGGTTTTGTTTTCTTCTAGGTTCTTGACTATGCTCCAGAGTAAGTGAAATATTGTAGAGCAGAGTTTCAAAGGGATCTGTGAGAACTGTCTCTTCCTGTATTTAATTGATAAACATGAAGCTTAATTTTTGGTTGCTAAAGATTGTAAGAATACAGTTGAGCAAATGCTTCTTAATACATCTTAACAATGAAAACTTTTTTTTCCTTTAATATTTTGGTAGGAACCACCAAAGCCACCTCTAAATAATTTTAAAGTGGGAATGAAACTTGAAGCTGTAGACAGAAAGAACCCTTATCTGATCTGCCCTGCAACTATTGGAAATGTTAAAGGAGATGAAGTTTATATCACATTTGATGGCTGGAGCGGAGCTTTCGATTATTGGTGCAAGTATGATTGTCGAGATATTTTCCCAGTTGGGTGGTGTAACCTGACAGGAGATATATTACAACCACTAGGAAGTAATGGTAAGATAATAACTAACTAATACATGTTCTTTTATTTTATTGAAGTTAGATCTAACTGCTGTGACATTGAGGGTAGGATGCTGTTGACATTGAGGGTAGAACTTCATACCTAACTGAGGAACAGCAGGCAGAACAGTGAGGGCACTGTTCAGGTTAGAGAACTTGAGGTATAAGGTTATAATTAGAATTCTTGAGGGTCAGCACATCATGGTCTGAATTGATAGACCACACTGGCCAATATGGGCAAAGCTGCAGGCCACATTTACACCGTTGAAGCTTTGCTGCTGTAAGCATTTTGGGGTACTTAGCTACATTTATAGTTGATATCCTATTTAAAATTACACATGGCATTCCATTGTTAATATCTTGAAGATTTTTTTTAAAGGTTGGGCATAGCAATTGTTATACATGTTTTACATGATTTTGGTTGATTTTTCAAGTTAAATTGGTGCTTTGATAGTGTTAAGATTTTACTTCTATAAAGATTTTACTTGTGCATGTTAAAACTTTTTGACTATGAAAGCTATCACAAATTAGTATATTATTTACTATGTTATTTCAGTCAAGTGTTTATCAGTTGTAATGCTGTGCTTCCTAAGTTGAATACTGTGTTATCTAGCCTAGATATTTTCTTTCAGAAAAAAAGACATCAAAATATTGAAGCTCCTTGGTTGACTCTTCCAAGGACATAGACATACCTAACCGGGTCTTCTGTGATGAAATAACTGCTGAGATTTAACTGGAGTCTAAGCACAGAACCCAGTCATTTGATCCAAGTTAAATGTGAACTTATTAGTGGAATAAAATATAAATCTACTTAAAATTTACTCCACTATATTAATTTATACCAGAAAGAAAAGAAAGATGAGTGTAGGAAATGAATAGGTAACGTGTGTGGAGGAAGGCAGTACTTAAGTATGAGCATATAGCCATAATATTCTTGTAACTGCTAGTAGAATCTTAAGTAATTTGGAACTTTAAGACATCCCATTATTCTACAGTACTACATACCATGATGTTCTTTTTATTAGGTACCTCTTTTTACCAGTTCCCTGCTGTCATAATTTTAGGTAACAGATGTTAATGGTTGATTTTTGTAAAATTTAATATGATACAGATTTATGTACATATGATACTAAAATAAGGCATAGTCTCTGCCCTTAAGAAGTTTACCTTCTACTGGGAGAGGGATGAATGGAGGGATAGACTTTTAAAAAAGATACAATACAAAATTAACAGTGTAAAAATAGAGATATATGCTAGAGATGAAGGTGGCTGAAAGACATCTGGTTTGTTTAGGCTGGCGGTAAAGGTGGTTAGGTAAGGGAACGCTTCACAAGAAGATGCATGATGTGAGTATTAAGAGAGGAGAAGGAGTTTGCCAGGCAGAATGAAGATAAAGGTAGGAGATAAAGACATCACAAAGGTGTGAAATTGCAGTGTGTTCTGCAAACTGATGAGTTCAAGTTGGGACATGGTAACTTTGGAAGGTGTAGTCAAGAATGCTATTGTCGTTCAGTATCTGGTCTCCCCCCTTTTTCTCCCCTTAGTAACAGTTCGGCTGACTAACATAAAGACTAGATTTCTAGCCTTTTTAGCAGTTAGTTATGGTCTTGACACTTAAATCCTTGTCAGTGGGATAAAAGCACAGGTAGTGTGTTACAGAGAGGTAAATATACCCTTCTCCCTTCTTGCTTCCATTCCTCTGTTAGAAATGTGGTTGTTTTGGATGGAGCTGTATCTTGAACTATAAAATGGGGGCCATATTCTAGGCATTTTGAAGTGGAAAGCAGAAAGGAGCCAGACTCTCTGAGAACTTTGTGGAGCAGAATTTTTATACTAACCTATTCCAGACTATTTGAGAGAAATAAACTTCTGTGTTATGTAAACCACTATTTTAGGCTTTTCTGTTACTGTTAGCTGAATTTAATCCTAACTGATTGATTCAGGGTAATTTAGGATATCCTGGTGGACATGTCCATTGGATTGATGCACATGCAGATATGATGCCTACAAATTAGGTCTTGGTTGACAAAGCGGCTTTGAGAATCATCAGGTTCGTTCAAATAAATACCCTTTGTGTCAGGTGGGATTATAGTTATTGGCAGGGGTGGGGGTTGTGGAGGTAAGGCAGCTTACACATCCTGTTGATAACAATAACTGGTGGTGTTGGATGCATGAGACAAGTGCTCAGGGCTGGTGCACTGGGAAGACCCAGAGGGATGGGATGGGGAGGGAGGTGAGAGGGGGGATCAGGATGGGGAACACATGTAAATCCATGGCTGATTCATGTCAATGTATGGCAAAAACCACTACAATATTGTAAAGTAATTAGCCTCCAACTAATAAAAATAAATGAAAAAAAATTAAAAAAAACAAACAATAACTGGTGGAAGTTTTGGGTGTTATTTTTGGTGCATGTGTAACAGAAGGTAGACGAGGACCGACAGAACCTTGTGGGTCAACATTTAAATCAATAATTCTTACACTTAAATCAACTGGGAGACCTTGTTAAAAGGCTGATACCCTGATACTCATGACTAGGTGTTCTGAATTAGTAGGTCCGGAGTGGGGCACAGGTTTTTCCATTGCACATAGTTTGAAGCCCAAACTTTTTTTTTTTTAATTGAAGCCCAAACTTTGAGAAGCACAAGAGATGGGTAGATGGTAAAATTCAATTTAGGACACTGAGAAACAATATATATAAATGTAAGAGATTTGTTAGATTGATTCCCCCAACAACAGAAGAGAAAAAGATTTTAAGTAAATAAGTATTCAACACTATCAAATGTGGCATAATTCTCTCTCTTTATAATGTTCAACTTTTATCTGTCCTAAAGAGATGCGTTTCTTACAGATAGTTGATTTTAATTTTTTTTTTTGCCAGTCAGCTAGTCTGTTTTTTTAAACTGGAGCTTTTAATCTATTTATATTTATTGTAATCACAAATATATTGCATTTTCAATATGCCATCTTATTTTGTGCTTTTTATTTGTCTTGCCTTTTCCATGTTCTAGTTTCTTTTCTTATCCTTGGATTATTTTTTCTTATTCCATTTGTTCCCCTCTTGTTTGGAAGTTATACACTATATTTTCTGTTTTTATAATACTCTAGGAATTTTAACATGTTTTCTTAAAGGAAGTCTGAAATTAATATCTTTATTCTGCATTAAGCCAATAAAGGAAACTTAGAATATTCTACCCATTTATGCCCTTCAAATTCATATTATTACTGTTGTATATTTTAATTAGGTATTTTTGTAATCCTATAAACTGTGTGTGTGTGTATCTGTATGTGTGTATATATATTTATATGCTTCCCTGATAGCTCGGTTGGTAATGAATCCACCTGTGATGCAGGAGACCCCAGTTCGATTCCTGGGTTGGGAAGATCTGCTGGAGAATGGATAGGCTACCCACTCCAGTATTCTTGGGCTTCCCTTGTGGCTCAGCTGGTAAAGAGCCACCCTGCAATGCAGGAGACCTGGGTTTGATCCCTGATTGGAAAGATCCCCTAGAGAAGGGAAAGGCTTCCCACTCCAGTATTCTGGCCTGGAGAATTTCATGGACTGTATAGTCCATGGGGTCGCAAGGAGTTGGACATAACTGAGCGACTTTTCACTTCACTTCATATATATATATATACACACACACACTACATCTTCTTAAACCAGTTGTCTGTTGATGGCCATTTGGATTGTTTCCATGTCTTGGCTATTATAAATAATGCTTCTGTGAACACTGGGTTGCATGTATTTTTTCAAATTAGCATTTTCATCTTTTCTGGATGTATACCCAAGAGTGAGATTTCTGGATCATATGGTAGCTCTATTTTTAGTTTTTAAAGGAACCTCCTTACTGTTTTCCATGGTGACTGCACCAATCTGCATTCCCACCAATAGTGTAAGAGGATTCCCTTTTCTCCACACCCTCTCCAGCATTTATTATTTGTAGACTTTTTGTGTGTGTGTGTTTTCCTGGTAGAATTTTATTTTTTTTACAGTTTTAAATTTACTTAAAAATTGTTTTTATTGAAGGATAATTGCTTTACAGAATTTTGTTGTTTTCTGTCAAACCTCAACATGAATCAGCTATAGGTATACATATATCCCCTCCCTTTTAAACCTCCCTCCCATCTCCCTCCCCATCCCACCCCTCTAGGTTGATACAGAGCCCCTGTTTGAGTTTCCTGAGCCACACAGCAAATTCCCTGGTTTTTAAAACAGCTATCTATTTTACATATGGTAATGTAAGTTTCCATGTCACTCTTTCCATACATCTCACCCTCTCCTCCCCTCTCCCCATGTCCATAAGTCTATTCTCTATGTCTGTTTCTCCATTGCTGCTCTGTAAATAAATTCTTCAGCACCATTTTTCTAGGTTACATATATATGCATTAGAATTCGGTATTTATCTTTCTCTTTCTGACTTACTGCACTCTGTATAATAGGTTCTAGGTTCATCCATCTCATTAGAATGGACTCAGATGCATTCCTTTTTATGGCTGAGTAATACTCCATTGTGTATTTGTTCCACAATTTCTTTATCCATTCATCTTGTCAGTTGACATCCAGATTGCTTCCATGTTCTAGCTATTGTAAATAGTGCTGCAGTGAACAATGGGATACACGTGTCTTTTTAAATTTTGGTTTCCTCAGGGTATATGCCTAGGAGTGGGATTGCTGGGTCATATGGTAGTTTTATCCCTAGTTTCTTAAGGAATCTCCATACCATCTTCCATAGTGGCTGTATCAATTTACATTCCCAAAAACAGTACAAGAGGGTTCCCTTTTGTCAACACCTTCTCCAGCATTTATTGTTTGTAGACTTTTTGATGATGGCCATTCTGACTGGTGTGAGGTGATATCTCATAGTAGTTTTGATTTGCATTTCTCTAATAATGAGCCATGTTGAGCATCTTTTCATGTGTTTGTTAGCCATCTGTATGTCTTCTTTGGAGAAACATGTTTAGGTCTTTTCCCCAGTTTTTGATTGGGCTGT